AATATAATGTAACTATAGAATATAAATTTAACTAATAGTAAATTTATGTATAACCACGAGTGTCAGAAAACCAGCGACAATCCCCGCGAGTTATGTGAATTGCTTTCTTTAAAAACTTCAAAACCTTACTTCACATGTGTCGTGAAGCAGGTAACCTCGGAAAAAACCGCCATATGTGCAAGATCGTATCTAATTATAGTGCGCGTGTAGGTGGGGAAGATGGGACCCGGTGGCCGGCACCTACGGCGAGGCAGGGTTATCTAATAAAGATACCTAACGCCGGGCGTTGGTGAAATCAAAAAAATGCTTATCGAAAAAATAATAGCAATTTATTTTTTTTTTATATTAAAAACAGACCCCAAAAGCACGCTTAGTGAGTAACTAAGTAGTATTAGCGTGACGTATGCTCCAAAGGATGAGAATAAACAAATACAATAAAAATTTAACACTCGCCGCGTATGCTTGAGAAACAAGTTGTTCACTAACCACCAAGCCGCTGCAAACGTCTAAGTGATACGTGGCGAGTAGGCGGCTCATTGGTTTTTTTTCCCCTGAAGACGCGGGAGGGCTGCCGAAATTTGTCTGAAAATATAGACAAGGACTTAAAATGAGTGACCTGAGACTTGATTGAACTGAAAGGACATGCAAGAACTATATTGAACAAAGATCCGGACTTGAACTTGGTTGAACAAATTGACTTAAGTGAACTCAAACCTTAAATTAACCACCAAAATAGGCTTGAACTTCAATCAGATTTAAACAGGACTTTGACAAAGTTGCAACAGAACTGTGGACTTAATTTAGACTCAGCAAAACCAAAGCCTTTGACATTGAGCTTGAAACTATATAAAGCTTAATTTGGGACATTAAAATTTGGACTCGAATGTGATTTGAGCTATATATGACATAGAAGCTTGTGACTCAAGAGAAGTGCATTGAACAATATAAACTTGACAATTGACTTAGACTTGAATATGGCAAACAAATTTATTTGATTTGATTTTGAAATATGGTTTGAACTCAAAGGATCACAAGGAACTTAGTAGTTAAAGTCTAAGTCATCTATGACATGTACTCAAATGAATACCAAATGGATAAATAAGGAATCCATGTTATTCCAACTTATATTTAGTTCTATCAATCAAGTATGTGGGTAATTTGGAGTGATTGGTAATGACATGCTTACATTCAACAATACAATGTCTTTCAATGAGGTGATAAGAAATTGTTATTTCAATTTTTAGAGTTCAGCTAATCTTATCATGTGAACTCGAATCATCTTTGTGGTGATACAAAGACGCTAAGACTCCAAATAATGTTACTCATGAGCAAATGAAACACTGGTGAAGGATCATTCTACATTCAGAAAACCACAAATAACAATAAAGAATTTCACTTTGAAGAATGGTCAAGATATCAATAAAACCATCATGCCAAATAGAAATGCAAGCGCTAATCAAGGAGTGTGATTCATTCAAATCTCATACATGCCAAATTCTTGGTGGGGTTGGGAGGCCCCTACATCTCACACAAAGGAGAATATAAGAGGCACTATGATAATTATAATGATGGTCCATCGTCATCATGTATACTAAATATGGCAAGAGAACAAGCAGAGCAAGCAGGGAATATAGAAGAGGTAGCCCCTTATTGTGTGTCAACCCAAACATGCATACAAATGAGCTTATAATAGCCTATTTGCAGACGAAGATGATAGATATGCAAAGTGGGCATACAAAACCTTCATAAGTCTTTGATAAGAAGGATACAGACGAACACAATAGCTTTGCTAATATATACAAATGAACCCAAGGATCACGCAGTGAATGCTACAATGCCCATGCAAATAAGATCAACGAAACAACATCAAGGAGTATATCACATCCGCTGAAAGAAAATAAGATCTGCAACACATACTTCTCTCACGAAGACAAGATGTATGTGTCAAGATGGGTAGATGCCACTGAGTAGCAGTATCCTGTAGTCAACTCTTCAGTCTAAGGATGAATACATTACCTCCAGCAGTATGGCTTAGTAATAGTCAAAATCACAACAGCATAAAGATATAAGCTCCTACGAGCTTCTACAACCGAAGGCAGGAGATTAGTTAGGTGCACTCGATCCACCTGCGAAAGCGACGAGTAGTGCACGACAAACTGTACCGAACAACCATACTCTATTCAGAAGCTTGCTACGCCACGCCCGGATCTGCAACATTCGTACAAGCAGACAGAAGTTTCTATTCAAGAATACCCACGTACACAATAGTTTGTATACACATAGGCACACTAAAAGGGGAAATACAATCTCCCGCAAGGCCCCGGCGGCATGTTATTGGTACACACGTGACGTCTAGGGATGCTGCGCGGGTTATTAAATTTCGAACCCGATCCTTCTAAGTAAATAAAAGGAGTCGACAGGGTTTAATTATAAATGCCTCAAATCTATGGGCCCGGCGAGCGTGTTATTTGGTATACACGTGACGTCTAGGGATGTGCGCGGGTTGACAAGTGAATTCAAGTTTCGAACCCGATCCTCTATATAGATCAATGTAATCGACAAGGTTCGAACCAACAAAACAAATATGTGGCCGTAAATATTTTTTTAGGCCTTCAAAGCCTAAAATTAAGAGAATTCACTCTCAAAGGCATAAACCTATGAAACCCGAATCTACGTATGTGGCCGTGGCGACTAGAATCTACTTAGTGCTGCTACTATATGCCAGATAACATCGTATCCTGACTTGACAACTAGCCTTAATCGAAAGTTCTCTCTCATTATCGGGAGGGGTAATAAACTATAGGGGCTTGCGCCTATAGGAAACCAGAACTCAGATCATAAAGTCTCACAATGAGGGCGAAATCTCTGGGTAGTGTCTTATCTACAAAAACCCATCTGCCTTCCAAAATTTACCTCGGAACTATTCAATTAAAATCCCTCGCTGATAAAAAAGAACAGCGAGCGGAGGCCGGGGCCGAATTTTCGGAGCCCACAGCTAGCCTTTCTGGGTGTATGCTCCCTTCGGCTGCCTTTGGCCTTTCTTCCTCCCTTTGCTATTCATTGGGCGGCTGTTTGGGTTGTTTGGGCTGTTTGGCTCCCTCTCCTCTCCTATATATTGTGGCTGATTTGTGACAATTGGAAGCTATTTTTGGTGAGTAAACTACTTAAACATGAGGGTTTCTCCTTGGAAAGCTTACGAGCTATTTCCACTTCTCTTCTCCTCTCTTTGTTTCTAGCTTTTTACCTTCTTATTTCCACAAGTTTCCACCCACTTGTATCTTTTGTTCTCAAGCTCTTGAAATGTTGTTGGCTGTTTGGTAGCATTTCCAGAGGAGTCTTGTGGTGGACGTTGACCCAAAGTTGTTGTGGTGGACCTTTGTTTGCATGTCTTTAAGCACTTATTATCTTACCTACTATTTCGATGCATGTGAGGTGACCACTAGCTGGTTGTTATGATGGTAGTTTGTTTTATTTTTATTTTAGTTTCATTTTTTGTCTATCTTTCATTTGTTTGGAGGTTGTTTGGTGTTGGCTTTAAATTTTGAAATCGAGAAAAGTTCTAACTAGCCATTATGCTCTCCGTTGTGGTTTTTTTTTTCCTACCTAGTTGTCTGCATCAAGTTTGGTATCAGAGCCAAGGTTAACATATCCTAGGTTGGTGTGTGAGTTTTTTTTTTGAAACAAAATGGCTAATCAAAACAACCAAGTGGATTGGCAACAAATGACTCTCTTCTTTTTTTTTAATTAATTAATTATAATTAAGTAATTATAATTAATTAATTAATTATTTATTTTAAATTATAATTAATTAAAATAATTAGTTATAGTTTATTAAAATTAATTAAAATAATTAGTTATAATTAGCTTTAATTATAACTAATAAACATTAATTAATTTTAATAACTTATAATTAATTAATAGTAATTAATAATAATTATAAATTATAATTAATTAAATTTATTCTAATTAAATTAATCATAATTAATTAAATTAATTATAACTATTTAATTAAAACTAAATATAATTAATTATAATAACTATAGTTAATTAAAATAATCGTAATTAAAATTAATTTGAATTAATTTTACTTAATCTAAATTAATTAAACACTCCCTTTCTCTTTCTCTCGGTTAGGCTCGGCGGGTTCACTGGATTTGGCCGAAGAAGGTATAGTTAATTAAAATAATCATAGGTTGCCTTCCATCATAGGGTAGAAAATAAAACAAAAGAAACATAAAATTCAAATTACAGTATAGTTCAATAAAAATTCAAAAATTTAAATATGCATGCTTCAATCATCCTCAATAATTTATTTTCTTTCCAACGTGTAATGCTACCTATATTCTTCTGAACCTTTTTTTTTTTAAGTTTCTGCCACGTAATGATTTTAGGGTTAAAGTATGCTGGTACTAGAAATGGCGATGCACAGGAGTTGCTTTACAACTATGTCATTTTCTTTCTTGGCGAGGTAAAAAAATCTTGTCGGATACTGCTACATCTTTCTTAAATATTATTATGATAAATTGCTTGTTCCTATATGCAGATAAAGTATGTTTCTCACTCTAGTAAGAATGATTTTCCTAAGGGACTCCTGCAGCATGTTGACCGAGGAACTTTGGAGATGTCATTGCATCTAGTTATTCTTTCTCTATGTGTGGTTAGAATATATATCAACTATCATGTTATTTGTTTTACTATCATTATACTTATTGTTTCATATATGCAAGCACTAGAAAATATTAGATTTGAATTTCAATGTTAGTTTTAACTTTTTGGACATCTCGTAGTCAGATTCAAATTAGATCCATCATGCATTCTTTTCTTCCTGTATAGTTTTCAGGGTTGACTATTTTTTGACAATTATCTCAATGATAAATATGATTTCAGTATTATTTAGGATTATCTTTGCCGTGCAAAGTATGTCTGCTAATATTATCTATCCTATTCATGGGCCCAATTCCTGTAAGTTTCTTTTTCTCTTCTGTACCCTCCACCATGCAATTGATGCCTATGTCATTCCTTCCACTGTTCTACCTCGTACTGTTGTCTTTCTTTTCTTTTTTTTAGTCGTCTTATTATGTTTAACAAGCTATATAATCATGATAATTATCGCATATCTGAAAATGCATCATAATGACTAATGTCCAGAAATGGGTTGTTACTTTTAAGACTTCCGTTGTGACTCTTAATATTTAATTAATAAGAGGGAAGTTACAGATCTTCAAGAAATAATACTACACTGGGCAGATTAATAACTTCAGTTGATATTGGACGTTGCAATAATCAAAATAACATAATGATCTTAAACTTCCTTATCCATTTGAAGGAACTGTTGAACCTTAATTTGTAGATTTATTATGTTGGCCATACTTGTGTCTTGCACAAGCTAGAATTGTAATTTGCATGATATTTCCTTGCGTGGTCTTCTGCTTCACTTCTTGTATAGTTCTAACTAGAAATCTTAGCTCTTCTCATTGGTCAAATTTAAAATCCCCCTGTTGCGTAGAAAGTTAAAAGACTAAGAAAAAATATTAAGGAGAATATTTTATCCAATGAGGTTGAATGGAATTAGCAGAGCATGCAATTTTAGAAATAGACATCTGCTATTTCAGCTTTATGATGTATTATATTAGCGTTTCTTGAGAAATTGGTCTTGCTATAAACTCAAAATGTTTTAGGGTAAAGCGTCCTAAAGTTAGTTTAACTTTTGAGTAGTTGTATTAAGGTAGGCATATTAAGAATATGGAATGCTTTTTTTTTTTTCTTTTCTTTTTATTTAATTTTTTATTCTTGGTTTTACTAAGGGACTGCTTATTTTATTATAAATCTGTTCTTAACTAAATAAACTGCATGAAAATTTTTTTATGCTAACCTTATTATTGATATCTTCATAAATCTATTGCAAAGTAATTGAAACTAAAAATGATTTGATATTGCTTCGCTAAAAGATTATTCTAAACTAAAATGCCTCATGGTTGCTTATAAATTTTGTTAAGAGAAGAATTAATTAGTGATGTAAGGTGCTTGCAAAGCTGTCAAAAAATTCCAAACACCTTTAAGGCCAGATGGCTATCCAACAATTGAGACATTAGACACTTGGCCGATTCAGTGAGACATTAGACAGTTGTCCGATTCAGTGAAACATCAGACATTCGCCTGGTTGAAGTGAGAGGCATTAAGAGGATGTTTTAGGTTGAAAGGCTTTGGGTGTAAAATATTTTAAATGCAGTTGTCGCTATGTGCCACCACTGGCCACCGTCGTTGCCATAGCTAAATGCCTCCATATAACACCGCATGCTGCCATCGATTGCGCCATTATTGCCACCACTGAACATAGCTATCAGACTTTATTTTAAATTCATTTTACTTCAAACCAAATGCAAAAAAAATAATATCTTGTATTTTTTTTACACTCAACTAAATAACACTAAAACATTTTAAAAACTGTCACATATTTAATATTATATCCCCTTTATTCCACATTCGTTTTTAGCAAATCAGATAAACCCATAGAAGTAAATAACTATTATCACTTAATAAAGTTATTTAAATTATGAGGAATATTTTGGAAGATATAAATAATAGTTATCACATTAAACTATTTTGAAAAAATAATCATTTTTGAAGGGTACAAATAATAATCCTTATATCAAACTATTGGACAAAATACACAATTTTTAAGGTCAAGTGCATCATAAATTTTAAATTCTTGCTAACTTGATCATCTCAAACAAGTATTTAAACTTCTTAAGTTCATAGCATGTAAAACAGGTTAATCTAATCTTCTTTGTTAGATATTCCATCTTTGTCATCAGTCATGCTTTATTCTGCACCATTGATTTTGTAGACCTCTCCCTTCCTCGATCTCTTTGGACTAATCTTCTTCATCCTCAAGAGTTACTACCTTAAAAACTTGCAATTGTAGCACTTACATTGTCTATGTTTTTTTCCCAGTGCACATACTTTTTTCTTGAACTCTTGATGTTCTTTTGTATCACCTCATGCCAAGTATCATTATAAAAAAATTATCTTGATGATAAAGGTATTATCACCTTCTCTCTAATTAAGTCAAGGTGCTTGCCTAAGGCATGTACTTTGAGGCAAAGCACTTAGCTTCTCTCCTAGGAACACTGTAGTAATTTCTAATGTGGAAGGTGTGCAAGGCACTATCCTCATCTGGCTTGGGCCCGGGTGCTTTGGTCAGTGCTAGGTTCACCTTTAACAAATTTGGTGGCTGTTCGTGCACAGGCTTTAATTCATTGCCTTCCCTCCCAACTATCAAAGATATGAGCATCCAATCATTTACCAATTTTCTTTCTTAAATTGTGTCAGTTTTTCATGTTTCTATACTTGTGTTCTGGAAAGACAGTTGACTGGTGCGAGAACTTTATTTCATGATACATTTTCTGTTATTTTACCGTCTTGGTTTTTCTTTTAAATCTGCCTGATTTATGATTTTTTTTTTCAAAATTATTCTTACACTAGGTTATGGCTGGTTCTGGTCATCTACAGACGTTTAGATTACTAAGGTACCTTCGAAGCCGAAGTTCCGTGGAAGGTCACATGAGTTATGGAATACAGATGAGTGTAAGTTTGTGAGCAAATTAAGTTTCCTTTGCAAATTTGGATTTGGAAACATGATAGCATTATCTGATCTTGCTTTGGTCCTTTCAGCAATTAAAGTATTTTATGTTTTTGTTGGCCTTATTAAATATGATTGGTTACTTTGAAAGCAAATATCATTTTCCAAAATTGTAGCTGTTGAGATTATTCCTCTTATTTTGCTTTGCATATTATTCTGTTGTCATGGTTGTTTTATAGTGAAAACTTTCCAAGTAGTAGTTTTTCCTTAATTTTAATTAAATTGTTAATGATGCTTAGCAGTATCGTTTACTTCGACTCAATTAATATTGAGCATATATGGCATTCAAGATTTGTTGTGTTGTGTTTTACTGATGCAGTCAAGTACACAATTGCTCAAGTTAATGAATACTAGTTTTTGATGCAGAATTTAATCTATTCAATCATTCTTAGAAAAGTGTCCGTGATTTATTTGTATTAGAGTTTAGTGAGTTAAGGTTTAAACTCATATATTTAGAAGGTTTAAGCTATGTCAAATATAAAAATTAATTCTCAAATTTCTCTTCCTTTCTTTTCAATTCATGATCATCTTCACATCCACTGCCTGCCATTATTAACTGTAATATGCTAATTCTTCTTCTGTCTCTAACCTTCTCTATACATTTTTCAATTTGTATTATAATCTTGGGCTGTGTACTTAACTCATTCGCTGATTTCAAATGACTTCTTCTGTGCTGTATGTCATATTTTCTGGTGCTGTATTTGTATTTGTTCCAGTTTTGGTGGGGGCAAGAAATATAGGGAGCCTATACCCCTCGCCCACACGAGAGATTTTTTCTTAACCGACGACCCACTAAATCACGAATGATGCGACTAAGATGAGGAAGAACAAACTCTTACCTTTCAAATTAAACTAAAAAGAAGAAATTTTAAAAAACATTACAAACGACGACGGATTACAATTTTTGACTTGAAATCAAAGACACCCTAAAGTTGCTTTACTTAAAGATGAAAGATACAGATGGAGTGGCACTTGCGGAGAGACGAAAGAAATTAGAAGCCGAGACGAAAGGTTGGAAAGAGCTCGCAAGATTTCCGAAGGGAATGAGAAAGAAGACGAACAAAGCTCGCAAGCTTTTCCAATAACCCGCGGGTTAGATTCCAAAAATCACATAACATTCTCTATTTCAAATATTACAAGCCCCTCATATTTATAGGTATGAAAGGGGAATACAAAAGGACACCAACATTAATTTTCACAAGAACCTAAACATCACAAGCAGGGAAATCCATCCCCCCCAATGCTAATCCCGGAAAACGCCCAAGCCCAAGAACCGAAGGAGCAGCCGCGGGAGACAAGGAGACCGCACTGAACCAAGGCGCCACAGCCACGGGACACATCCCAAGCTCGGAAAACCAGCAGCCGGCCGGAATTCCAAGGGGCAAAGGCACAAAAAACTAAAGCTCATGGTGGAAGCCAAGGAGCCACACATGGGAAATAACATATCTTGGAATTCCAAAAGCCGGTTTGGAATTCCAAGTGACAAACATAATTAAAACATTAAAAATTACGTTAATAAAAAGATAACTATGAACTAAAATGTTTGCTAATAATGAGCTAACCCTTAGTTCAATAAGTGAACTAAAGATCGGCTCATAAATGAGCTAAAATTTCAGGTCAATTTTGATTGAGCTTGTAGACTCGAAGGAGGCCAAAATTGATTTATTTTGGACATGAGTTGACCCCCCTTTGCCTACATCAGACTCCCCTTCTTGAGAACTCATCTCCCGATGAGTTAGTTGTTTGTTCTCTTGAGGAGGTAAATACTGCGCATCCAGTTCTTTGATCTTATCATAAAATTTCTTCAAAATTTCTTCCTGTTCCTTCTCGAACTGTTGTTGTAGGTACCTTTTCCACTTCTCGAATTTTGGATCACATAGGAACATGTGATACTAAAGCTTGTATAGACGGTCTTGAAGCGGACCAGTAGAATCGCCTTCTGTAGGAATCCATCTGTCCAATAGGAGTGGGACGTCAGGATTATTTGAATTGATTTCCTCGTTGTATGAATCCATATTTTTGTTGTTTTCCATTTTTTAACTGACTCAAAAAAGACTAAAAAATCTCAATCTAAAACTTAGACTCACAATTCTTGCAAGACTCACAACAAGATTTGACCCAACAAAACAAAACTTGACAAACTAAAACAAAACTTGACAACTCAATTTGACAACCAAACCCTAGGACTTCATAACTTGCTCTAATACCAAATTGGTGGGGGCAAGAAATATAGGGAGCCTATACCCCTCGCCCACACGAGAGATTTTTTCTTAACCGACGACCCACTAAATCACGAATGATGCGACTAAGATGAGGAAGAACAAACTCTTACATTTCAAATTAAACTAAAAAGAAGAAATTTTAAAAAACATTATAAACGACGAGGGATTACAACTTTTGACTCGAAATCAAAGACACCCTAAAGTTGCTTTACTTAGAGATGAAAGATACAGATGGAGTGACACTTGCAGAGAGAAGAAAGAGATTAGAAGCCGAGACGAAAGGTTGGAAAGAGCTCGCAAGATTTTCGGAGGGTATGAGAATGAAGACGGACAAAGCTCGCAAGCTTTTTCAATAACCCGCAGGATAGATTCCAAAAATCACATAACATTCTCTATTTCAAACATTACAAGCCCCTCATATTTATAGGTATGAAAGGGGAATAGAAAAGGACACCAACATTAATTTTCACAAGAACCTAAACATCACAAGCATGGAAATTCCCCCCATGCTAATCACGGAAAACCGCCCAAGCCCAGGAACCGAAGGAGCAGCCGCGGGAGACAAGGAGGCCGCACTGAACCAAGGCGCCACAGCCACGGGACACATCCCAGGCTCGGAAAACTAGCAGCCGGCCAGAATTCCAAGGGGTAAAGGCACAAAAAACTAAAGCTCATGGTGGAAGCCAATGAGCCACACATGGGAAATAACATATCTTGGAATTCCAAAAGCCGATTTGAAATTCCAAGAGACAAACATAATTAAAACATTAAAAATTACGTTATAATAAAAAGATAACTATGAACTAAAATGTTAGCTAATAATGAGCTAACTCTTAGTTCAATAAGTGAACTAAAGATCAGCTCATAAATGAGCTAAATTTTCAGCTCATAAATGAGCTAAAATTTCAGCTCAATTTTGATTGAGCTTGTAGACTCGAGGGAGGCCAAAATTGATTTATTTTGAACATGAGTTGCCCCCCCCTTGCCTACATCAAGTTTCCGTCTCTTGTTTGTGCTTTTACCTCTTTTTATGTTATGCAATTTCAGTCATTATATGGTTTTGTAGAGCAAACCCACTTATGTGTTTATTAAATGGTTTTGTATTACTTGATAAAATATATAAATGGATGTTGCATTTTTGAAGCTATAAACCGCTTGACCCTTTCTTCATGCATTGTTATTGACATAATTTGAAGAAATTGATCTGCAAAGTTTGAGCTATTGTTTTTTCTATCCTATAAAATCTGTCCCTCTTATATTTCTGTATCATTCACGTACAATTTATTAATTTCAAGCAAGAGTTACTTGATCAATTACATGATGGGAAGTGTGTATACTGCACCTTGCTCAAACATGATTTTTTCCTTTTAATTTTAGCTATAAGTTGCTAACAAGTGCGATGGCTTCATTCAGACTTCTAAGTTATGTCACTTGAGTTCGTATAGAAATTTTAACTTCTTACTCCAATGCCTTGTAAACTTTGTAGATAAGTTTGGCTATTGGATTTTTGTTTCTTGGAGGAGGTGTACGAACCTTTTCAACCAGAGATAGCGCTGTTGCTGCTTTGCTTATAACTCTCTATCCACGTCTGCCTACTGGACCAAATGATAACCGTTGCCACCTGCAGGTCTGTTTATTTGTTTATGCCAAAATGAAGTATTTTGCTATGTATTTAACTTCCCGGTGGTGGTTTTTTAAGGCATTCAGGCATTTATATGTCATTGCTGCGGAGTCTCGCTGGTTGCAAACTGTAGATGTTGACACAGGTTTGCCTGTTTATGTTCCTCTTGACGTGACCGTCCCAGAAACTGATCATTTTTCAGAGACTAGCTATAGTGAAGTAACGCCTTGTATTCTTCCCGAGAGATCAATGGTATGTGTTTGATGATTTTTCATAAGTAACTTTGACACGTTCTTTATTCTCACTTTGAAACCTCTTACCACTAGTCCTACTGACCAACGACACTTTTAATCCATAATTTTCTGAACTCATTTGACAATTCGTATCGAGTTATTAGCCAGGTCCCTGACCACAAACAACAGAAAGGATAGCATTTGCAGTATTAATACTATTGTAGTAATAGTAGTATTAAAGCAGGACAAGATATGCTATGGGCATATATTATCTTTTATAAACTATTAATATAAAATGCATAATCAAAATACCTAATGCCAATTTCAGGATGAAATATAATATTAATGTATAACATTTTTATACTATTATTAAGAAACAATGAGAAAGAACGTTTCTTCCAAGTTTTCAGGATAGCAACGCTCTATTTTGAAATGCGCATCTCTGTTATGATTCTTGCAGAACCGTCCAAACCGGCCCAAGTGGGGCCGGTTCACGCCTATAGGAGGCGGGCTAAACCACCTCCTTTGATGGCCGCCCACTCATGTGGGCCCCCCCCTAGGGTGACAAGGAGAGAGAGGGAAAAGGCAATAGGAAACTATTTGAATTAATAATTGTTTTAGGAAATATTTTATTAGCTTTTATTAAGAAGTTTTGTATTAAAAGAGGAGAGGAGGCTAGGTTTAGGGCATGCTTGCATTGGAGTTATTCTCTTGGAGTTCTTTTAGGGTTTTGGGCTCTAAATTCATCAATCTAGAGATTGAGAGAGAACGATTTTCCTCTCGAATTGAGGATCGATTGTATCTTTGCTTCATTCTTGTTTTGCTTTGCTTGCTATAAGATTATCTATCGTTTGATTGTTTTTTCCACCATACTTTCTTCCTTTTTCTCGTTGTTTTACCGATTATTGTTAGGTTTGCTTGTGAACTCAAGTATTTCCCATTATGGTTACTTGCGAACTCAAGTATTTCCTATCATTCTCTTAAATTTTAAAATCTAAAATATTTTAAAATTATTAAGCAAGCCACAATGAGAGTAGGTTCTCTCGAAAGCTCTAAAACAATAAGCAATCTCCATTTTTGAAGGGGCCTCTCAGAAATTTTAAAAATTATATAAATTTTTAAGGCAACTTTATTTTGAAATATTTTCTCTCCTAAAATATTTATTCATAAATTTTTCTTGCTAATTTGATTAATCATTATCATCTTTTATGTATGCTATGAATGGAGTTTCATACACTGAAGATTATTTTTTGAAATATTTTATGACATTCAATTTCTGAAAATATTGCAATAATAATAGTTTTAATCTCACATGTGCTGCATGTGGGTATCTTCTTGTAAAAACTTTAAGAATCAACTAAGGAAAAAACTAAGTTGGTTAAGTTACAATTATATTTCAATGCTTTATTAACTTAATCCCCAAGAACACACTAACATTAGCATTAATCATTAGATATGATTTTAATATTATATTATCCACTCAAATACTAAAATCCCAAAGAGAGTATATATTCTTCAAAGTAACATGTTTGAACACATCTGTTGACTGTATACCTACCTCTCCTCCATCTCTGTATATTGATATGTTATTATATATATTATATAATATATATAATAATATACAAAAGTATATTATTTATTACAGTATAATATAACAATATAATATAATACTATATATATTATATTAATATAACGAATAATATTATAATATAATATTGTTGTATTATATTATAATAAATATATAGCATGATATATATATTTTTTATTTATATAATATTATGATTATAAAATAATAATAAATAAAAATAAAAGAAGGAAATGAAAAATTTCAAACAGGTGTTGAAGACCCGCGCCATCGATCTTAATCTGGGCGGTATGGTTTTTGAAATTGAAGACCTGCGCTGTTGATTTTTAATCCGGGCAGATGGTTTTAAGAATTGAAGACCTCACGCAGTTGATCTTAGATCCTGGTGAGATGGTTTGAAATCAAAGACCCTTGCGTCAACCTTAGGTCGCGGTAGGAAGAATTACAGCAGTGCCTCTCCGATTTCTCCCCTCGGTGGGGAGGAGACGTCGGGAGCTGCCAAATTTCGAGAAAATTACAGAACTTTTTTTGGAATAATTATAAATCAATTAAATTTAAATATTTTGATTAATCAATTAAAATTTTTAATTATCAAAGTTAATTTTGAATTAATTTGTGATTGATTAAAGGAAAATTCAAATTTTAAAACACGATGACTTTTTTTAATGAAAAATTCAAATACAATAATTTTTAAATGTTCGAGAGTTTTAAAATTTTGAGAGCTATTATAAAAAAAAATTTAAAAATCTTTTGGTTAATTAAATTAATTAATCAAAATTGAATTACTTGTTAAAAAAATGTAATAAATCGAAAAGAAAAAGAAGAAGAGAGGGGAAAGAATATTTTTCCACTATTTGATACATACAACCCAACCATGTACAAAAACTCAGAAATCTCCAAACAACTGTACAAGCTCTCTCAAATAAAAGCTATCTTAAACTCTCAAACTCCCCATCCCTTATACAAATTGATCTCAAATTCTTAAACTCTCCAACAACACAAATTGAAACTCTATACACACTCAAATTAAACTCTTGTACAAGTTCTCCAAAGCCCTTCTTGTACGAGTTCTTGCAACTATCTTTGGGCTATATCCTCTGCAACTGTGAGTCCTGACTGCCGCAACTACTGGCTATGAACACCTACAAACAAACAAGTGGAAAGTCAGTACATCATAAATGAATTAAATGAATGCCAAAAAAACTAAGCAACTGCAGGTAGAACAGAGTACTGAAAAACAAGAAAAATTGAGTACAAAAAAAACCCAGTAGTGTAACAGTGCTGAAAAGACGGGTAAAGAAGTGAACTATTGTGGTAGGAAAAAGGTCACAAGCATAGAACAACTAAAAAAAAAAACAAACACGATTATCTTGTATCAAACAAATATTATCTACTCAAACAATCAAATTCAAACCTTTGGACAGCATTGTTTATAAGAACTTGGTTGTAAGACCCACTACCCGGCAACTTTCGTAGGAAAGTCGTAAGTCCGAGCTTAGGAAAAAGTTTTAGGTAGAAATTGACCTAACCCCTAAACCCAATTAAAACCCCCGGCAACTATCGTAGGAAAGTCGTAAGCCCGATCTTAGGGGGAAATTTTAGGTAAAAAATTGACCTAACTCCTAACCCCCAATTAAAACCTCCGGCCACTTCTAATAGAAGCCGTAAGTCCGACCTTTGAGAGAAATGTTTAGGTGATAATGCAACCCTAGACCCCTCATTTGGGCATCCTAGTTTATAGGACTTGGTTGTAAGACCCACAACTCGGGCCACTTAGCTTAAAGTGCTAAGCCGTAAGACCCGTTATTGGGCAACTTCTAATTGAAGTCGTAAGCCCCAACATTTTAGGAAAATTTCTAAATAAATTGTAATGATCCTAAAATCTAAATAATCTAATTCAAACCAACGGACATCCTAGCCTACAGGGTTAGGTTGTAAGGCCCACCTTCGGGCTACTTTCTACGAAAGTCATAAGTCCCAATTTAAATCAAATACTTGGGTTACTTTCTACGAAAGTCATAAATCCCAATCTAGATTTAAATCTCCGGGCAACTTCTAATTGGAGCCGTAAGCCCCAAACTAAACAAACTATCCGGGCAACTCCTAATTGGAGCCGTAAGCCCCAAACTAAACAAATTATCTGGGCAACTCCTAATTGAAGCCGTAAGCCCCAAACTAAACAAATTAACGGGCAACTTCTAAGGAAGTAGTAAGCCCCAACTCAAATTAAATTAAAATTAAAATCTAACCATTTCAGTCTAATCGGGGTTCCTGAGAGGAGACAACCCATGGCTGCTAATCAGATTCCGTGGACACTACGATCAATGATTGTTAGTGTTGGTAGACTGAAAACTACGGTATACCCGGGACGACGGAACCATGGGATCTTGATCGGGTTTACCTCCATTTTTACTAACTATTGAGATTAAAAATATCTAAAATTCATTCATCCTTAATCTAGAGTTCTCTCTTACATAGTAAGAGGGATAATTAACTATGAGTGCTTGCGCTCATAGGAAGTAAGGACCCCAGATCTAAACAAACCCTGACACACTCAGGGGAAATCTGGTTAATTACAATCTGACTTAAGGGAAATTGAATCCTACAGCTGCAAAACGGGATTCATGCATTCGTGACATTTTTCTTGAGCCAACAACATCAATGCCTCACAAATTGAATCCAATAAATTCCAGATGGGTTGATTGCCCAACCTGAGCCAGAAATTTATTGAACTGACAATCCATCCATGTCAATGCATGATCCAACCATGTTAGGGTCTGTTTGAGGCGTGTCATCCAACACATCTAATATGAATGCAAAAGGCTTTTTTAAAGTGTTGGTTCTCATTGGTGGAAGCATTATTTAAGGTTTAGGTTAGCAAGGGTGCTTTAACGTAGCTGTTGAAGGAGTTGCATGCAAGTTAAACACAGTGACTTACAGTATATGTGGTCAGTTAGGCAACAAAATATGATTCAGTACCCCTTTAATGGAAGAGAATAATTTGATTCTTTCCCACATGTAACGGCCTGGATGAAGCATGCTTAAATGTGTAATTCATTTATTTGCAGTTGAAGAATGTTCGAGTTTGTGGGCCTAGATATTGGCCTCAAGTTATAGACCTTTTACCTGAAGGTATTTAGATAAAGATCCTTCTTAAATTATAAAAACTTCTTTGACTTGCGGCTAATATATATATATTCTTTTTGAAGATAAAAGCTGGCTGAAATATGTGGTCAAGAGTGATCCTCTTAATGGTGGCCTCCTTTATGTAAAACGAAAGGTTGGATTTTGTTCATATGTGGATGATCCGATTGGGTGCCAGTCTCTGCTCTCACGGGCAATGCACAAGGTTTGTTTACTTGCTCACTTTTCTTTTCCATTCCTACACATGCCATGATACAGAAATTGCATTTTGTTCTCTAATTCTAGGTCCTTGATAAACCAAGCTTGAGCAATTCTTCCAGTAGATTCAGGGATGAATGCAAGCGGGGCTCTAGTGGAGTTGATCAATTGGTTGGCACCTTTTCAGCTGATCCAAGTTTGATAGCTTTTGCTCAAGTTTGCTGTGAGTCCTCTTGGAATAATGGGCAAGTGCTCTCCACCATCATAACTTTTTTCTGCGACAGCAGTCAGTGTCTCAACTTCCCTTGGAATCTTTCTTTTTCTGTTTACTGAGGTTTTTATTGCAATTCTTTGTTCTGCCACTTTTTATATCATAGTCACTAATATCATTTGTCTGTTTAAGCTTGTAAACGAACAAACCTAAATTCTTAGGCTGGTGACCTTGGTGGACTACGAATAGCATTATATCCTGAGGGGAACCTTACTTTTTAGTTCATTTGGGTACACCATATGAAATGAGCATTGGTCCCTAATATGTTGCGCTAGAAACACAACATACGACAATATCTTCTCATAGCTTTTAGTTTCTAGCAGTTCCCACCTTTAATATGGCATTTACTATGATATTTTGTCCTTTTTAAGTGATTGAGTGAGGTCTGATAATGACTGACTGCGATATCCCCTTTATCTTAATGTTAAACGTTTCCTGTTGAGTGATAATGCCTGATTTAAAGAAGACTGACTTGATGTTCAAACTATTGAAATGCATGTCATCATAACGGGTTGATATTCCAAATTTCTTCTCTATGAGCGCAAAGTTAGGTATTAATATATTTAGTGTTGGATTAATTGTTAACTAGTTTTGAGTTGTTGGACAGTTGGTGAATGAAAAACGAATTGGGTTGTTATATCTTAATTCCATCTTGCTTATCAGCCATGTTGTCTATAGGGTTTTACTTGGGTAAATAGCTAGATTGGTTATTTGATTGGTGAAAATATTAGTTTGTGAACATCTCATGGAACACTTTAAAAAGAAAATGGATGATGAGATATTATAAAGTTAGGATGGCTGCCTGTAGAAAATCCTGTTAACATTCACAGATCATTTCTAACCTAGGAAAATCTCTCGTTCATCACATCAATTCATATTAGCATGATAAAATTAGCACATTATAAGGTTTCATATCAATCAATTCATTACAACTAGTATGCAATGAAATCCATGGAAAACCTCGGCATACAAACAACAGAAAAAGAAAAGAACACTGGCCTAGCTTAAAATCAGAAGTGGTTGTCCTAACAATCCATCTAAAGTGTGTGCATCATGCTTTGTGGCTTGGATATGTCATATATTAGGTAGTTGTTGAAGTTTTCTAATGTTTAAATTTATTTGTTGTAAGTCAAAGGAGATTTTTAATTTGAGTTTAGATATGAAAATTTTAATGCTCATTTTAGCATAAATTTGAAGTGTTGAGTGACTATTACTTTTTTTTACATCATGACTGTGAAGTTTATTTCACTTTCTTTAGGGCTAAGTTAATAGCTTCGCAGACCCGGGTTACACAGTAGTAACCAATGTTGCTTAATTAATTTAATTGGTTGAAATTAAGGATTAATGATTCTTAATTAATTAGTTCCTACTTTGAATTATTAGATTAATTATTTTTTGTTTGACATCAATCGGTTCGTGGCATTGTCACAATGGGCTCGAGGAACCAGGCCTTCTTTGGACACGGAGCCCCATAGCTTGAGGTAGTCCATCCTAAAAATCAGGTTGATGTAATTGCATCAATGATTTAATTTCGGTTAGTAATTTAATGATCTGCTGATTTTATGATTTTGCACTCTATTGAATTCGTTCGTGGCATTGTTAGAACTGGCTCGAAGAATCGGTCCTCCTTAGGACACGTAGCCCTACAACTCGAGTTAGTTCATCCTAAAATTTAATCAATAGAGTGTTTGTTATGTATTTTGGGGTTGGTTGTTTGATTTAACTGATTAGATTAATGTTTACTAAAGTTTTGATCATTTGTTGATTTTTTGGATTTTATGAATTATTTTAATTCATTAAATAAATGGGTCTAATTTTGACTTTTAAATTTTGATTGAATCATTGAGTTTTAATATTTTTCACCAATAATAGACCCTAAGTTGAACAAAATAATACTAAGTTTGCTGGATTTAGTATTTTCTAGATTAAGTTATAATTTTTTAAAGTTCAGGTGTAATTTTGAATTACAATTGACCAAAGAATTAATTTTTTATTTTATTTTTAGTGATTTCTGAAAGTTTGATATTTTTAATAAATATTAGATCTTGAAAGAAGTCCAATGCCTTTGAGTTTGCTCAATTTAAAATTTTTTGGAATTAGTTATGAATTTTTAAAGATATGTATGCAGGAGCTATTACTTGTGTTCAAAACACAAGGTGGATTGACCAAGTATTTCCCTATTTCGGTTGGGTTACATCAAGGATTAGCCTTAAGCCCATATCTTTTTGCTTTAGTCATGGATGTTCTCACTAGACATTTGCAAGAGGATGTACCTTAGTGTTTGTTTTTTGCTGATGATATTCTTCTTGTTGATAACACTAGAGAGGGAGTTGGAGGTAAACTTGAATTATGGAGGTCAACCTTAGAGTCTAAAGGTTTTCGCTTGAGTAGATCTAAAACGGAATATATGGAGTGTAATTTTAGTAGTAATCAATCTTCCAAACAAATCAAATATTCAAACGGAGTGGACGGCTATGGATTTGGTGGGGGGGGATTAAATTAAAAAAGATCTTGTATTAAGGAGGATGAGAGGGATTAGGGGATATTATGTTTTGTTTGATTGGAAATTATGGTTTCTTGGTCTTTGGGCTCTAGACTTTCTTGTCTAGAGATTTGGGAGAGACGATTCTCCTCTCAAATTGATGATCATTTGTATCTTGCTTCTATGTTTCTTTTGCTTTGTTTCTCTTATTGCAATCCATCATTTTGGAGCTGATTTCGTCTAGATTTTACTTTATTCTCGCTGTTTTTCTCCAATTAGTAATAGGTTTGCTTGCGAACTCAAGTATTTCCCTTAAGGTTACTTGCGAACTCAACTATTTCCTATCAAATTGGTATCAGAGCAAGTCTTGGGACTTGTGGAGGGGTGTTTTCGGCAAATTCCAGCAGCATTTTTTCGTTGAATAAAAGAAGTTGCTATTTTTTATCCCAAAATAGGGGTGTAAGTGAGCCGAGCCGGCTCGTGAGCTGGCTCGAGCTCGACTCGATAACGAGCTTGCGAGCCGAGCTTATCGAGCTACTAGCTCGAGCTTAAACTCGAGCTCGTTTGTTAAACGAGCTCAAGTTCGAGCTCGATGTGAGCTTGGCTCGCGAGCTCGTCAGCCGAGCTCGATTGATTATCTGAATTACAAAAAAAAAACTAAAATGATCAGAGGCGACAATTCGATATGACAATGGCGGGGCATCCGGCGGGAATTCCGAAAACCAGAAGCGGTAATTTCAAAAACAATGAAAAAATGATACTATTTTGTCATTTCCTGCCATAAAAGAATATATAATATTATTTTAATTTAATCTATCCAATGAAAATGAGTGACAGCTGCTTTGTTTTTTTGGGAAAGGCAAAAAGTTGAATTTTGCTTTTCCTTTTTTTTAAATCTCATTAAAAAAACTTCTGACAGCTCCTCTCTTCTCCCCATAAGAAAAAAAATTATTTTAAACACTCAATCTCCTTCTGTGATGGCGAGCTCCATGCGAATGACGCGGATGGACGAGGAGGAAGACTGCTCGACGGCTGCCCGGACCGTCGAGGCTCGCGAGCCGGCTCGAACTCGTTAACAGTGGGACGAGCTGAGTTCGAGCTCGCTTTCCGACTGACGAGCTGAGCTCGATAGTGTCAAAACTCGACTCGACTCGACTCGTTTAAACCCCTATCCCAAAATACTGGTTTTGTGAATCTACAAACTTCGGATGTGATGACTTACAAAAAATTGGATGCCTTGGAGGAAAACCTTGAAAGGAATATGATCAAATCAAAATGATGGTGGAGGAAATGATTTCTTCAATGGAGGGACAAGTCGCCGATCTCTGAGATATGATGAACAAGAAGTTAGAAATGCAAAATCAAACGGCAGCTTTAGTGGCAAAAGGGAGGGGAGGATAAAGTACGAATTCTGAAATTCGTATGGAGGAAGATGAGGTGAAAATCATGGAAGGAGAAGGAAGAAGACTCCATCTGGAGCCTTTCCAGAGGAAAGAAAGAGGTGGTGGATATGAGGAACTCCAGGAGGGATACTATGGCCGCCGAGGTGATGATTTTGAAGAAAGAAGGGTTTCTTGGTGTTTGGGCTCTAGACTCTCTTGTCTAGAGATTTGGGAGAGGTGATCCTCCTCTCGAATTGAGGATCATTTGTATCTTGCTTATGCGTTTATTTTTCTTTGTTTTTCTTATTGCAATCCATCATTTTGGGACTGATTTCACCCAAATTTTGCTTTTTCTCCAATTAGTGATAGGTTTGCTTGCAAACTCAAGTATTTACCTTAGGGTTACTTGCGAACTCAAGTATTTCCTATCAAATTGGTATCAGAGCACCTAGCAGGGAGGGATTTCGAAAAAGGTTAGGGCTATGGCAGAGCAAGGGAAGATCGGGAAACATGGGGTGGACTTAGCACTTGGGAGAGTGGAAATTATGAAAAAATTAGGGGAAATGGTGGCGACCAGAAGGTGAGGAAGTTGAAGATGCCCATATTCGAAGGAGAAGATATGTTTGGGTGAATTTACAAGGTAGAGCGATACTTCGTCGTCAATGGGCTGACGGAGGAGAAGCACAACAGCGGATTGCTTGGAAGGAAAAGTCCTTTCGTGGTTTCAATGGAGAGATTAGGGAGGCCTATCAGGAACTGGAGGGAATTAAAATACTATATAATAGAATATTTTCAAATTGATCGTGGAGGAGATTTCTATGAGCAGCTCTTTGCTCTGACAAAGGAGGGATCAATAGCAAACTACCGAGAGAGATTTGTGCACCTATCCAGCAGGGTGGAGCGACTCTTAGATACAGTATTATTGGGGAATTTCATGAAGGGGTTGAAGGTGGAGATTCGAGAAACAATGAAGGTTTTGATTCCCCGTGACTTGGGGGAGGCCATGAAGTTGGCCTAACTGGTGGAAAATCAGAGGAATTTTGAGAGGGAAGCCAGGAGTAGCAACACAGGGGGAAATTATAGGATGACGACAACCCATCTAGTACCTAA